CTTCTTTTCGTTATCCCTTTCCTTTTGGTGGTGGCCCCTCTCGTGGTGCTAGTGTGCCTCCTTCCCGTCCTTTTGGTTTGTCGTCGTCTTCTCCGCCTTCTCCGTGGCCGTACCCTTTTTCCTTTTGCTTTCCCTCCTGGTGGTCCGACTCGCGGCCGTGGACGACCTCTGCCTTCTTGAGGGCCTCCTGCTCCTTCTCGGGGTCGAAGACTCACTCGCTTCTCGGTTTAAACTCTCTCCCCATCGGCCACTGCTTCTTTCCACTGCCGCTTTTGGCGGGCAATTTGTTTTTGAGTGGCCGACAGCGCTGTCGCTGTCTGAGAGCGCACTGGTCGGTTAAGCCAAAACTCTTATAGAAATCATATCCCAAATCCTTTTCGTCATCCTTCTTACCCCTCTTCCACATCCCCTCGTTCCTGCACCCCTGGGTTACGACAGCCCGTCCCTCTGCCCCTATCATTATCCATCGTCTCGTTGTTCTCCTCTGCCCCTCGTTCCCTCCTCCTCGGCCTCGTCGCGTTCACCATCATCCTCCTCCTCTTCCTATTCTTCTCTGATATCTTCATAACTTACGTGGCCTTGACGGCGCTGCAATGGTAATCTCAGCGAACGATCCTTCGAAAGCGTTTTACGAAAAAAATTCCTTGTGTGGCGGGTTGCATCTTGATTCGTTCTGTGTCGGATATAAGCTGGTTCCTTCTGTGGCGGGGTGGCGGGGTACACGTTGATTCCCTCTGCGGCCCCTTACAACAAAAAGATTACGTTTGTGGGGGGTTACCCATGTATTCCCTGTGCGGGCGGAGGAGAGGGGGGGGGGGGCAGAAACCAACACAAACATGACAATCAGTCAGAACCTATGGAACAAGCATGAACAACAGAGCTCCCAGGCAAAAAAAGCCAACGGCATCCAAACCCTAGCTGGTTTTAACAGAACAAACCAAAGAAAACCGAAGGTGCCTCAACGCTTCTCATCCGAAAACCATTCGGTGCCTTGATTTCGTTGATTTCGTTGCCTGGGTGCTCTGATTGTCGTGTTTCCCTTTGGTTTTGGCGGATTTTCATGTTTTAGGTGTTGTTCGGCGCCTTCGCCCCCCCCCCCCCCCAGCGCCGCCTCCACCTCACCACCAGAGAGAGAGAGAGAGAGAGAGAGAGAGAGAGAGAGAGAGAAAAAGAGCGAGAGAGAGAGAGAGATAGAGAGAGAGAATGGGGGGCCTGAAACCAACCCAAAAATTTTAATCAACCACAACCAACGGAAAACCACGACAAGCAGAGCCGCCCAGGCAAACAATCAACGAAGTCCAAGCCCTGAGCAGTTTTTGAACAGAAAAACCAAAGAACACCTAAGGTGCCCCAGTGCTTCCCATCCGAAAACCACTCGGGGCCTTGATTTCGTTGATTTGGTTGCCTGGGTGCTCTGATTGTCATGTGTTTCCTTTGGTGCTGACTGATTTTCATGTTTTAACTGGTGTTCGGCGCCCTCGCCCCCCCCCCCAGCGCCACCTCCACCTCACCACGAAAGAGAAAATGGGGGGCCAGAAACCAACGGAATAACAAGACAATCAATCAAAACCAACGGAAGAACAGGAACATCACAGCCCCCAGGCAACACAAATCAACGAAATCCAAGCCCTGAGCTGGTTCCAACAGAAAAATCAAATTAACACCTAAGGTTTTTCAATGCTTCCCGTCCGCAAACCACTCGGGGCCTTGCTTTCGTTGAGTTGTTTGCCTGGGGGCTCTGATTTCAATGTTTCCTCTGGTTTTGACTGATGTTCCTGTTTGTTGTTGGCTTTCGGCGCCCTCGCTCCCCCAGCGCCGCCTCCACCTCACCCCCACAGGGAGGCGCGAGGACGAATACCAGGAAAACGAAAACTACGGACAGAGAGAACGAGAGAGAGAGAGAGAGGGGGAGGGAGGGAGGGAGGGAGGGAAGGAGAATGAGAGAATACCCAAAATCACATCAAAAAAAAACAAATCAAATGATACAAACGATGCGCCCTACGTGCCCCCCCCTTGCCAGACCCGTGCCTGGGATGTGCGTTGGGCTGGGGTGTGTGCTGGGATGTGTGCTGATTCTGCCTTCGGCTGGGGTGTGTGCAGGGCTGCGTGCTGCCTCCGTATGCTGGGATACGTGCTGCCTTCGTGCGCTGGGATACCTGCTGGGGCGTGGCCTGGGGGCACAAAGGTCTCTGGGCCAACATGTGCGTTGGGATGCGTGCCGTCCCCATGGGCTCTGCCTGCTCCCCCGCGCCCCTCCGCCCCGTGCTCCCCGTCTGCCGACTCCGACCGACAGACCGAGCGTGCCCACACACACCCCTTTCCCGACCGTGCCGCCCTCCCGTCCCCCTGCTCACCCCCGCACCCCTCCGCCCCGTGGCCCCCGCATGCTTATTCCGACCGACCGACCGACCGTGCCCCCCCTTGCCCGACCGTGCACTCCCGCCCCCCGGCCTGGGGCTCTACCCCGCACCCCTCCGCCCCGTGGCCCCCGTCTCATTATTCCGACCGACCGACCGACCGTGCCCCGTCCCCCTTGCTCCCCCCCGTACCCCTCCGCCCCGTGGCCCCCGTCTGATTGTTCCGGCCGACCAACCGACCTTGCCGCCCCCTTGCCCTGCCATGGCCCCCCGTGCCCCCCTCATTCTCCTCGCGTCCCGCCCGTCCGCTTATTCCGACCGACCGCCCGTGGCGCCAAATTGCACCGTGGTTCCGACGAGCTCGCAGTGACGTAACAACTTCTTACACCAAGCATCCCAAGAACGAGCAATATTTCAAAAACTCATCAACAGTATACTGTGTTTGTCTCTTGGGGCCCTCTCGAAAGGTTTCTTGAAGGCCTCTTGGGGCGTCTCGGGGGCATCTGGGGCCGTCTTGGGGGCCATCTTGGGCGCCTTAAACCGAATTTATCGACGACCCGGGGCCCTTGTCCACCGTCGCAGGAGTCTCTGGGGGCCCTCGCGTCCCTTTCCGGGCCCTCTCGTGACGCCCCCAAACCCACGCGACACACCCCGGGCCCGCGAGCGCCTGGGAATCCGAGGACCCGGGCCCTTAATAACCTTACAACCCCCCTGCCTCTCAGGGCTGCATGAGCCTTGGAGCGCCCCTCCACGCGCTGAAGACACAGTGGCGGATCTTGGTTGCGCATGCTATCGCGCCCCCCCTCTTGGGACCAAGCGTTTCCCCCCTATACAAGTGGCACGCATTATAAAACACGCCGTTGTAGCCTCGCAAACCTCTCTTGTCATATTAAGATCGCCTTCGGATCGAACTTGGCGCTGCGTCCACATAGCCATGCTGCTATCCGCCGTTCCTCCGTTATGGTCACTCGCCAGCGTGTCGCAGCACCCGCGCGCTTCCCCGAAACTACCACGTATTGGCGCCATCTTCATATCCTATTGTCCCGCATCCGTGATTGGATGATCACTCGCACGCGTGCCTTTTGTTGTATTTTCTGAGGTAACGGCCGTCATCGCCCCCCCCCAAGATGACGTCACATTCCGCGCAGGCGGCGTCCAATAATGCCTAGGGATGACCAGGGCCAACTAGGAGCAGCATGTAGGTGGCGATCTGCCCCACAGCGCCTGTGTACACCACAGTTCTCGCGTGCACCACAGCGCGCGTGTACACCACAGCGCCTGCGTACACTGCGACTGCCGTGTGCAACGATGCGCCTGCGTATACCACAGTGACTGCTGCACCACACCGCCGGTATACACCACGGCGAATGTGTACACCGCAGCAACCATGTGCAAGACAGCGCCTGTGTACACCACAATGCTTGCGTGCACCGCAGCGCCTGTGCACACCACAGCGCCTGTCTGCACCATACAACATGCACATCTTTGAAAGTGTATGTTGCATTGTTTTTCTTGCAAGAATGGTGGGGGGGGGCTCGTGGGTCCGGGTTGGCTGCTGGTCGTGTGGGGGAGGGGGTGTGTATTGACAGGGATCACTGACTTGCGGGGTAAAGCCGAACTTGTTTTCCGGCCTGGGCTGCTCGCACCCGTTGGGCGGTCGTTCAGTGTGCGGCCGCCGAATGCGCCACTCACGGCGCACCCCCTTATAGACGTCGTGCTCTCGTCAGCCAGAAGTGCGCAACCCAAGGCGCAGCCGATGGCAGGCCTGCCTTCTTTCGGCAGCCAGATGCGCAACCTATGGCGGAAGCACCAAATGGCAGGCCACTAATTTCTCGGCCGCCCAGGATCACTCTTGGATGGTCCCCGGGTCGGCGGCGGCCAAGAGGGGGGCGTCCAAGAGGGGGGGGCGCAAATCATGGCCGGCGGCATGTGCGCGGCCCAGGGGGTGGGGGCGCAGGGACATACTGAAATAAGAAGAGGCGCCATGAAATCTGGGGAGGTATCATGGCTCCCGCCATGCTATCTCCCCCCCCTACTAGTCACCACCCCCCTCTTGGCCGCCCCCGACCGGGCCTGGCAACAGGCCCTGGAGGCCGAGATCGAGGAGGCACGCCCGGACTGAAGGATGCATCGTCGGAGACCTGCCTCTCCGGGCAGCCTCCGCAGGTGGGGGCCGGCGGCGCGCCCCAGGCAGGTGCTATACGATGTAACGATGTAACGATGTAACGATGTAGCGACTGAGACGAACGATGTAACGATCAAGACGAAGCCGGGACGAGGCTAACATCGGGTACGGATAAATCGAGAATCCCTGAGATCCCGCGGATCTGGAGGATGTCTCGGGCGCCGCGGCCTTCTCAGAGCCGTCTGGAACGCTCTGAGAGCGTTCCGGAACGCCCTGGAACGGATTCGGATTTGTCCTCGGCCTAGCCTCGCCCGAGGGATGCAAGGGCCTTAGAAGGCCATGTCGGCACCTGGGGGGGGGGGTGCGCGGCCAGCGAAAGCGGCCTTGGGGGGGGGGTCTCCAGAAGCCTCCGGAGGCCTCTGGGAGCCTCCGAACATCGCCGAAGAGGCACCCGACGGGGAGCTCCGGAGAACAGTGGCGATGGCGACTGCCGAGGCGCAGCCGCTGCCCGGTCCGGCCTGGCTCGCGCCCTTGCGCTCCGCGAAGAGCTCCGCGAAGGGGTCTGGGCCTGCGGGCGGGCGCCGCGCCGCGCCTCGTCCGGCGGCCGCAGCCCTGCGCCGTGGCGGCTGCGCCCTCGTCCGGGGCCCCAGATCTCCGACGGTGTGCTTTCTCGGTCCGTGGGTTTCTCCTCGATTTCGGGCCTCGGGAACCCGTTATTGGGCCTCGCGGCCATGAGGACTGGATCCGGGGCGAGAGGCTACCACCAGGGAAAAGGGGCGGGACCTCTCGGGCCGCGCAAGGAAAAAACCAGATCGTCGGATGTCAGGGTCGGTCGCGACATAGGACGGAACCAGGGGTTGCCAAAGGTGTCCTGTCCATGGCCCAGGGAGAACCAAGCTTCTCGCCACTGGGGCCCCTGTGGTCCCCAGACCAATGTTGCAAGAGCTGTGGGCTGTGATCTTCCGAACAACCAGCAGGCAAAACACCGACGATTCATCCGCTGCCGCTTCACAGCCGCAGGGTACGGTCTGCGCGGGAACGCAAGCAGGGCCAGGAGAACGCGGCGTTTCGTCTCATTTCCTATTAGTGTAGAGTAGAAGAGGCGCAAGAGGGCCCCGAGAATATTCAAATTCAGAGCACGCGAGAAACATCGTGCGTTCTTTGATGTTGCCTCATTTGGTGCCCCTCTTGGTGTCCTTTTCGGGGCCCTCTGGGGACCTGCGATACCGTCTCGGAGGGCCACGACAGATCTCTTGCCACAACTACCCGAACCGAATCGAAATCAAATCACGCGTGAGCCCTATTGCGTAACTTGATGTTTACCCACCTCGGGCCCCAACGGCGGCACAACGGCGGCGCAACTTGGTTGAAGGGCACGATTGCAGCCCGAGTTTCTGAGTGATGGCACGGAAAGGAGGAGCATAATGCATATGATGATGACATTGATAAGGCTCTTTTAGTCAGGGATATAAGCTGAAGAGCTCTTGTTACTAAGGAGCTTGTGCTGAAGCGGCTTTTCGTTGGGTGTTCTTTTGGGAGTTCTCGGTAATGTGCCTGTAGTAAGGATTCCTTCAAAAGGACCTCTGCAACAAGTGCTCCTTAGTGGGACTGCATTCAATAAGGAAGCAACATGTCAGTATGCCAGTTCTACGGATTCATTGCCAATGGTGCTGGTCATACAGATTCCTTAACCAAGATGACGTTAGTCAACGAGCATGGGAACACGAGTTCTTGAGAAACGGGTCTTTGGTAATGAATCACTGCTGGTCTGTTTCAAAACAATGTTCTCTTGTTTCGCAATTCTTTCGTAAGGAAGTTTTTTGCCCCAGCCCTCCTGTGGTGTTGGGTCCTCGTTTTGAAGAGACACCGCCCCGCGTCACCTCCCGCTCTCCTCCCCCTCCTCCCTCCTCCCCCTCTTTGCCTCTGCCCTCCGCATGTTTCTGTTCCAGCACGCCTCTCACACGTCTCGTGGGTCCATTGGCAGTTCCACCGACCAGCGGCTGCGTTCGCATGACACCACCGCACCCATCCCGCGGCCCCAAGGGGAGCTCCACCGAAGGCCCCACTAGCTGCGCTCGCATGACACCACCGCACCGATTCCAGCACGCCTCTCACACGTGTCGTAGCCCAATGGGGAGCTCAACCGAAATCCCCACTGGCTGCGATCGCATGGCGCCACCGCGCCCACTGTGGCACACCCCTCATACGCGCCGTGGCCCCACCAGGGGCTCCACCGAAGGCCCCAGTGCCTGCGCTCGCATGACACCACCGCACCGAATTCGGCACACCCCTCACACGCTTCGTGGCTCCATAGGGAGGAGCTCCACCGCAGGCCCCACTGGCTGCGCTCGCATGACACCACCGCACCGATATCGGCACACCCCATCACACGCTTCGTGGCTCCATGGGGAGCTCCACCGAGAGCCCCAGTGGTTGCGATCGCATGACACCACCGCACCGATTTCGGCACACGGCTCACACGTTTCGTGGCCCCATTGGAGTTTCACCGAAGGCCCCAGCGCCTGCGCTCGCATGACACCACCGCACAAATTTCGGCACACCCCTCACACGTTTCGTGGCCCCATACGGGGCTCCACCGCAGGCCCCACTGGCTGCGCTCGCATGACACCACCGCACTCATGTCAGCACGCCATCGCACGTCTCGAGGCCCCATAGGGTGCTCCACCGAAGGCCCCAGCGGTTGCGCTCGCATGACGCCACCGCGCCCATGTCGGCACACCCCTCACACGTTTCGTGGCCCCACAGAGAGACCAACCAAAAGCCCCAGGGACTGCACTCGCATGGCACCACCGCGTCGATTCCGGCACACCCCTCACACGGGTCATGGCCCCAGTGGGAGCCCCACGAAGGCCCCAGTGCCTGCGCTCGCATGTCACCACAGCGCCGATGTTGGCACACCTCTCGCACCTTTCGTGCCCCATAGGGAGCTCAACCGAAGACGATACCAACAATTGCGTTACTCACAACTGCATATGGTTTGACCGTCGCGCGGGAATTTTTGATTTTACGATGGGGTCCTTAATAAGGACTCATCGAATAAGGCACACTGAACGAGGGCCCATTACGCTAGGAGCTCCCACTAAGGACAAATTGCGAAATAATCATGTGTGAGGACCCCTCGGGCAAGGGACCCTTGGTAGCGATGCCTGTTATGAGGCATCCCGCAATACCGATATCTGGAGTAAACCGTTCTTGCTAGGGATGCCTTCGGTGACGGGCCCTTGTTGGTAAGCGTGCCAGAAATACGGGTTCTTTGTCAAGGGTGCGTCTAGTAAGAACTCCTTGGCCGGGATGCCTTTCGTAAGGGATCTCGAACAAGGAATTCTGAAATGCACATACCGTCAGTGCTGATTCGTTTTTGTTGTTTTGTGACTATTCCTTCACGAAGGTGCTTTTAGTCTGTGGTCTTGACTACGCGTTCTCGAATGAAGAATGCTTGACCAGGATCCTTGTGGTAAGATGTTCGGACCCTGTTGGTGAGAAGCTTCAAACTCGAATGCCTTTGATAAAGCAGCCTTCTTGAGAACCCCTGGAATAAGGAAATGCTGCAAAGGGTGTGTGTGTGTGAGTGCTAAGGTTTCCTCTCATAATGGCCCTGTGTCACCGACATCCTTAACATAAGGGTCCATTCAGTAAGGAACCTTTGTTGTAACGATGATTGGGTTGCTGATTCCTTGCCGAGAGCGCCTTTACTAAGGACTCCTCCGCAATAGTACCTTTAGCACGATACCCTGAAAAAGAAGCCGTTGGTCCTTAATAGTGCTTGCATCGAAAAACTGTTTTGATGATGATCCCTGAACCTTGACGCCTCTACTATAGGGCCTTTAGCAAGGGTTTTGAAAATGGATTGCGCAGGGCTCCAGACAGGCTCATCATTGTAATGTTCATGTGTTGCTGCGTTTCTCTGCGCACGTGCCGCACGCTGCGTGCAGGCCCACCTGTCGGCCTCTGTGCAAGGCAATGTTGAAGCCGCCACCTCTCCGCAAATGCCCGCGCATGCTATGCATCTCCATGATCCATGCCCACGAGGTCGCTGGTCAGGACAGCCCCGCCATGCCCGCACATGGCCGCGCGCGCGCCATACTTCCGCAGAAACTGCACTTACCGGAGTTCCTCCCCAGGCAACCCGGACAACCCCTCCAAGAAAATGCCACGAGCAAACTATCCTGGCGAAGGACCCAAGCAAATGCAGGTGTGAACCTGTAATTGTTGGTACCATCTTCGCTGGAGCTCCTTATGGGGCACGAACCGTGTGAGGGGTGTGCCAACATGGGCGCGGTGGGGCTATGCGAGCGCAGCCACTGGGGCATTCGGTGGAACTCCCCATGGGGCCACGAAACGTGTAAGGGGTGTGCCGACATGGGCGCGGTGGTGTCATGCGAGCGCAACCACTGGGGCCTTCGGTGGGGCCCCTTTGTGGGGCCACGAGACGTGTGATGGGTGTGCCGAAATGGGCGCGGTGGTGTCATGCGAGCGCAGCAAGTGGGGCCTGCGGTGGGGCTCCTTACAGGGCCACGAAACGTGTGAGGGGTGTGAAGGCATGGGTGCGGTGGTGCCATGCGAGCGCAGCCAGTGACACCTTCGGTCGAAGTCCCCATGAAGCCACGAGACGTGTGAGGGGCGTGCCGACATGGGTGCGGTGGTGTCATGCGAGCGCAGCCACTGGGGCATTCGGTGGAGCTCCCCATGGGGCCACGAAGCGTGTGAGCCATGTGCCGAAATTGGTGCGGTGGCGCCATGTGATCGCAGCCACTGGAACTTACGGTGGAGCTTCCCGCCGGGCCACGAAACGTGTGAGGGGTGTGAAGGCATGGGCGCGGTGGTGCCATGCGAGCGCAGCCTCGGGGGCCTGCAGTGGAATTCTCCAGGGGGCCAAGAGACGCGTGATGGGGTGTGCCACCATGGGCGCGGTGGTGTCATGCGAGCGCAGCAACTGGGACATGCGGTGGAGCTCCTTGTGGGACCACGAGACGTGTGATGGGTGTGCCAAAATGGGCGCGGTGGTGTCATGCGAACGCAGCCACTGGGGCCTTCGGTGGAGCTCCCCATGGGGCCACGAAGCGTGAGAGGGGCGTGCTGACATGGGTGCGGTGGTGTCATGCGAGCGCAGCAAGTGGGGCCTTCGGTGGAGATCCCCTTGGGGCCGCGGGATGGGTGCGGTGGTGTCCTGCGAGCGCAGCCACTGGGGCCTTCGGTGGAGCTCCCTATGGGGCCACGAAACGTGTGAGGGGCGTGCCGAAACAGAAACATGCGGAGGGCAGAGGCCAAGAGGGGGAGGAGGAGGGAGGAGCGGGAGGAGGGTGGGATGTGACGTGGGGCGTTGTCTCTACAACCCAACACCACAGGATGGCTGAGAAAAGCAATTATTGAGGCCAACGTCGCAAAGCAGGTTCGGACCCGCGGGGTGCGCGCGGGACTAATTGTGACGACTAGAAGAAAGGAAAAGAGGAGGCGGCCGCGGATGCGGGACGAGGGAAGAGGAACGCCCGAAGGAAGAGATCACTACGGGCGTCAGGCGAGAGGCCGGGCGGATCAGCACCGACATGC